GACAGTCTCATATACTGTTGTGTTTAGGGCAGTGTGAGAAGAGTAGATACATTTTATATGTAGATAACCTCAGATCATAAATTCCATTTCTAACAATTTATTGTTAGAAAATAATTGGACCCATTTAAATGCACAAGAATGTTCACTGAAGTGTAGTTAGAAGAGAAAAAATAAGGCATAAAAATTATGATTTATTCATAGAATAGATGGCTTTGTAACTATTAAAATAATATGTATCAAGTTATTTATTAAAACATTTATTAAAAACAGTCTATTAACATGGACAGATAGCATTATATAACATTGAAAAAAGCATTATATAGAACAGCATGTATAATATAATAGATGTAGGAAGGATGCTCACAAAATTCTAACAATATTTTTCTTCATGAATTGGGATTTTAGATATTTTTTTATTTTCTTCTTTAGACTTTTCCATATACTCTGCTTGATTTTTATGATCACAACAAACAATTTCATTTGTAGCTAAGAATTCAAAGGAAGAAGGAGGATATAGCAAAACAAACAAACAACAACACAAAAACTTATTCCTACAGCACAGCAATATTAACTAATAGATACCTCTAAAATTCCAAATTCCTAAAACCTCATTCTTCCTACATGGAAACCCTCAGAATCCAAAAGAAAAAATGACATTGATTTTAAAAATAAACTTTGAGCCTGGCCAGCATGGCTCAGTGGTTGAGTTATGAACCAGGAAGTCATGGTTCAATTTCCCATCAGGGCACATGCCCGTGTTGTAGGCTCAAGGCTGCACTTCAATGATTCTTTCTCATCATTGATGTTTCTCTCTCTCGCTCTCTCTCTCTCTCTCTCTCCCTCTCCCTCTCCCTTCCTCTCTGAAATCAATAAAAATAGATTTTAAAAAATAAATAAACTTTGCCAAATCTTCACATGTAATAAAACTGTACAAACCTAAACACACACACACACACACACACACACACACACCAGTGCATGGAAAACTGGTGTAATCTGAACAAGGTTGATGGGTTATATCAATGTTAATTTTTCTGATTGTTATTGTGCTACTGTCATGTAGGATGTTACCATTGGGAGAAGTTGAGTGAAAGATACATGAGATCTCTGTATTATTTTATACAATTGCTTGTAAATCTACAATTATCTCAAAATAAAAAGTGTATTAAAAATGAACTTTGCACCTTGAAAAAGTAAACATGTTAAGCTTTTCTTAGAGCTGGGGCTAAATTATCAGAGAGTCTGGGTCTCAGATTCTCAAAGCTGGAGGCACTGAAGGGAAACTAACTTTTGGTGACCAGGCTATTACACCATCTGAGAACCTTTAAATGAACCAGATGTGATGATAGATGAAGAAATGGAGGCTCAGACCCAGTAGTAGCTCAGCATTCATTTCTGGAGCAAGGATTTGTGTCCAGCTCTTTCTGAAAGCGCATGCTTTTCCTATTGTTATGTCACAGTGACTACATCTTCGAATGACTTAAAGGAAAAGAAAGAAGTTGTTCACTGTTATCCATATAAAGGAACGAACTAAATATTCAAGTGGGTGGGAAAATGGTGGTGATCTAATTGGGCACAAGGAGTTTCTTATTATTTATTTTATTTATTTATTTTAATATATTTCTTTATTGATTTCAGAGAGGAAGGGAGAAGGAAAGAGAGATAGAAACATCAATGATGAGAGAGAATCATTGATTGGCTGCCTCCTTTACACCCCCTACTGGGGATCAAGCCGGCAACCCAGGCATGTGCCCTCCACCGGAATCGGACCTGGGACCCTTCAGTCCACAGGCTGACGCTCCATCCACTGAGCCAAGCTGGCCAGGGCAAGGAGTTTCAAAGTATGTGCCTACATGTGAATATCATCCATCACGTATATCACTGTAGCCCTGATTACTAGAAAGTTCTTTCCAACACTCAAATAAGCCTAACTCTATCTAGTGGTCTTTCATCAAGGAACAAACCTTTGTCATCATGTTCCTTCCTTGATAAAATTAGATTTCCACTGTTGGTGCGACCACTGCAGAGTCTGGGCTATAACCACTTATAACCTCTCTTCTCCTGAGTGATATTGGAAGACCCCATAGCTTTCCTACTGCTGCTTTTACATGGAGCCAACTGGTTATTTCCAGTCCTCCATCTTTATGGACCACAGTTGACAGTCTAAGAGACCCCAGAGTCCAGGCAAGAGTTTCAGGGTGGGCCTGGGAACTCCTGAAATTTTGGGCAAAATTGTTATATCTGAACAAAGAGGCATGCATCTGGAAAGAGAGCATTTCACTTTTATTAGATTTTTAATGTACCTAAGACTACCAAATGATAGGAAATACAACTTTAATTTGATCAGCAACAAAATGGATTTAAAATATAAACTCCAAAACTGATTACTTAAAAAAAGTAAATACTCAGCTAGCAATAAACTTATTGTAAATAAAAAGAAAGAGTTAAGTTTTTAATTCTGCCTTTCTAGTACTAGCTATACCTCAGGGTAAACAAATAGTTGAAAGAGGAAACATTTCTTTTTATGGGAAGATTCAAGCCAATAAATGATGAAAGAGTGATAGAATTAGAGCAATACCATTCTACAATCCCTAATGAAATAACGGGTTTAAATAAAATGATCATCAATGCCTGCTGACATCCTCCAAAGAGAAATAACCAGATGTGCTTCCTAATGTTCTTCCTCAAGTGCTCAATACCTTTTGAATCTGAGCAACATCTAGACCGACTATTTATAGGAAATACAAGAGTCAGGGGAATATTTTAAACAACACCAGCAAACTGGGAAATGGTATAGGACAAATAATCCTATTTCTTCAACAAATACATTGCAACAAAAACAAAAAAGAAATGAAAGGTTTATATTCTGGAAAACAACCCCTTCCTCCTGGCATCTGTGCTGAGCAGGCACATCCTCCTTGGGGAGACAATTCCTTCTGAATTGCACAGGAAGTTCCATGCCAGGGCCTTCTGCTCTCCCCCGTCCCCTTTCCTTTCCTACATTAGTAAACAGGTAGGAAATTCATCAAAGCTTCAAAGGTTGGTGATAGAGAACAGGTGGTGACAAATTGATGCCCTGCAGCCCAGGTGAATTGCATCCAGGGTGAATAGCAGCATAGTGGCCAAGATGGACTTCATGCCAAAGAATGATTTTCACTTCTCAGAAAGGAAAAACAAATGATTTTCTGGTGTCTGGACTCAGACACTGGGCACCAAAGTGGAATGCTGCACTGTTCTCAAATTCATGGGCTTTCCCTAAGTAGTTACAGTAAAGAAGAAATTGTAAATAAAAAGAAATGAAATGCCTTCAGAAATAAAGGGGAAACATGCTAGGTAGCAGAATCACTGAATGACTGAATGGAGAAGGGCTTTAGGGGACCTACAGTCCAACTGCCTTACCTAATGGGTAGAGGAGACACCCTCTACTCCCCTCTCTCTCCCTACAACTCTGGAAGTCTTTGCTCTGAAAGGAGCTAGACTTCAGAGCCAGCTGGAGGTGTAAATGGGCAAAGCAGGCCCAGAGAGAAAACCTGACTTGTTTTCAAGTCACAGCAAAATAGGAACAGTATTAGGCTGAGAACTCACTTCTGATTCCCTGAATGAGGCTCTTCATGTTGGTCTGATAAATATGGTATGTGGCACTCAAGGGCCAAAGCCACAACGTAACCAGGTTAAGGCCTGGGTGGAGCCACCCAAGCAGGTCAGTGGAAGAGCTTCAGGGAGGCTGGCTGGCATAAAGCCACCTTGAGTACTGGCAACCTCAACCTTGGGGGGCATCCTAGGTGGATGAATTGGCACACAGGTCTTTCTGGTTTGCTCTAAGGCTTTGACTTGCCTGAGCTAAAAAAATTTTTTTTTAATTTGAAAGCAACCAGTAACATCAAGACATAGATAGGGCCTGGGCTGTCCCCTCGAGGCTATTCAGAACATTCTCCAAAGCAGGAAGGAGAATTTTGATTTGCCCCGAGCAGAAACTCCTGGAAGCTCAGTGCCAGCCTCTTTCAGGTTCACCCTCTAGACTGCCCATTTGCTCTAGAATTGCTCCCTGCTTTACTGGTCCTGTCAAACTGCAGCCTCACACCTGAGTGTGCCTGCCAACATGGACTGGACTGGACTGGAGTCCAGCCAATGTGATCAGAGGACTGTGGAGGAGGCATGTCAACTGCCCCAGTGCTAGCTGACTAGGGGGGCAGGCTGCCCTCCAGAGCTCAGACTGTGGCACCTGGGAACTTACAGCAAGGGCAGGGCTTTACAGCCTCACCCACTGGTTCTTTCTTCACCAAATAATCCCCCCTTTTCCACTCCTCCCCCCTCCCCCCCGGCCAAAAGCCCCAAGACCTCAGGGGCAGAGGCCACAATTCTTGATGTCACATTAAACACCACCTTCCACCTGCCCTGCCTCTCTGCCCCTTTCCCAGGTGCAAGAATTTCCTTCCTCCCAGGGCGACTTTGGATCAAATCTCGAGGCTGAAAGACCAGCCCCAGCCCGCCCGACCAGGACGGGCCTGATACACGGGAGTGGCCCACTCGTGCCAGGACAGCTCCACACTGTCTCCTGGGCAGCCGCGGGCCTGATACAATTGCGGCCAGATATAACTGCAGACTCAGCTGGGAGGGCAGAAAGCCTGAAACCCCCACCCCGGGCCAGCAGGGAAGCATCAGCCTTTGGGTGGGGAGCAGTCAGGGCTGGGGGTCGATAGGGCTGGGGAATGAATGAATGAATGAATGAATGAATGAATGAATGAGTGAACGAACGAACAGGGATGATGGCAGAGGGTGGTGGTGGTGGTGGACTTCGGAGATGTCCCAAGAAGGGTGTCCTCCGCTGCCCGGACGTCCTCATCCCCACGCCCGGACCCCTCGCGCGGAGCACAGCAGCCGCGAACACCCCGCAACCTGAGAAGCGCAGCTCTTGAGCTGAGCCTGCATTTCGGCGGGCGGGAAGTGCCTGCCCGTCCCGCCCCTCGCCTGAACCAGGCAGGCGGGCTGCAGTCCCTTACCTGCCAGCCTCCACTGTCTCGCCCCTGCTCAGAGCAGTCATAGATGCGCCTCCGGCCAGCGCAGGAGACCCAGCGGCCCGACTGCCACCAGCCGGTCCTCGTCCTCGCAGCCGGGAGGGCCCACCTCCTCCTGCCCATTGGTTGCCCGCACGGGACGGGCCCTGCCCATTGGCAGGTCCTTCCCCCTCTCCAGACTCAAGGTGGGGCCCAAACACCGCACAGATCTCCACGCCCCTTTCAGGGTCTGCTCCTCCAGCCTTGCACAGCAAGGGCCTTGGGGCCCCTCCACGTTCTTCCTCTTCAGCTTTCTGAGTCTCTTCGCAAAGCTCTGCAGCAACCAATTCCAGCCCTCCTCTAAATAAACCCTCCCAACACTGAACTCCAGGGTAGCTTTCCATTTCTCTCCACACCCGATCATTGAGGGCCTGAGTGGGGAATACTAGAGGCAATGGTGGAATAAGTCAAACTGGGAGCTAAATGCTGCCATGCACCTTGCCCAGAGCTGGAAACTTCACTGTGGCCCAGGCAAAAAACTTTTGGGTAAGTCTGGGAAGGACTGAAGATGGCCAGGGAATGAAGAGTAGGGGTTGGTGGTGTTAATGGGGTGACAATGAACGGGGCCTTGAGAATGGGATCACACTCAGGTTCCCCCAACTTTTTTGGCCTGCAGGCCCCTTCCCTCCTATCCCCACCAGGTAGAGCTTAGTCCTTGGGAGTGGTCAGGAGACGGGAAAGGTGCAAGTGGATTCGGTTCCATTCCCAAACCTCCCCCACCTCCTTCACCCAGCTGTACCACGGAGGGAGGGCATAGGAAGATGGAAGGGGCACTAACAGAGCCCAGGTTTGAAACTGTTCTGGGAACTTTGGAGCAGAAGCTGTCTCAGGAGCCAGGTCTCGTCCTACAGCTCCCATCAGGGCCCTCTACTGCATGAAGGCCTAAGGGGAGGGCAGGGCAAGGACTACTCCACTCAGCTTACCCACCAGAACAGGAGGAAAGGGCCCTGGTCACTGCCTTCTCATCTGATTCAAACAAGCCATTATAATTTCCCCAGCTGCAGCCCTGGCCGTGGCTCAGTTGGTTGGAGCATTGTCCCTTGCTTGCACCAAAGGGTCACAGGTTTGATCGTCAGGGCACATAACCAGGTTGTAGGGGAGGCAACTGATCAATGTTTCTCTCTCTCTCTCTCATCTCTCCTCTCTCTAAAAATCAAGACATATCCTTGGGTGAGGATTAAAAAAAAAAATTTCCCCAGCTGCAGTTTTGGGTATTGATTTTAGAGCAGTGGTTCTCAACCTTCCTAATGCCGCGATCCTTTAATACAGTTCCTCATGTTGTGGTGACCCCCAATTTCATTGTTACAAATTGAACATAATTAAAGCATAGTGATTAATCACAAAAAAATATGTAATTATATATGTGTTTTCCGATGGTCTTAGGCGACCCCTGTGAAAGGGTCGTTTGACCCCCAAAGGGGTCATGACCCACAGGTTGAGAACCGCTGTTTTAGAGAGAAACATTACTTGCTTCCCAACCAGGGATGGATACCAAAACCTGGGTATGTGCCCTGACCAGAATCAAGCCCATGACACTTCAGTGCACACGACACTCCAACCAACTGAACCACACCAGCCAGGGCTTCAGGAGCTTTTACACAGCCACCTAAAGGGGGCAACCTATGCAAGTCAGCTACTAATGGTTCACCTTCTAATCCAACTCACTATGCAACTCTGCACTTGGAGATGGACCGTATGGCAGGTGGCCTGAGCTGTTTGGGAGTCCCCACCAGGAGCGTTGAGGCTCATGCCCTTTCGCCCTACTCAGAGGGCAGAGATCACCACCAACCCTTTCAGAAAAAAGAGGCAACAAATGCTTCAGCTGCTATTTATTGACATACAGGTAGGCTCTATAGCAACAGGCCTAGAGGTGGCTGCAGTAGTGGGGATAATGAAGGTGGAGGATGGAGTTTGTCTGCAGCGACAGCTGAGTGGAGTGCAGGAACAGAGGTGCACAGTGCACAAGATGGGAGTGGGGGAGGCTGAGGGGATTGGAGAAGCAAGCGAAGGCCAGGGCCAGACAGAGTCAGCTGACACTGGAACCACTGCCCTCTCTAGCCGGCTATCTTCTGAGCCAGGCCAGGCTTGGGAGTTCTCTGAGTGTCCATTTCTACAGGAACTGAATGGAGTGCACAGAGGAGAAGCAGGAGCGATTGCCCTCTATGTTCAGCTTCAGAGCCTCCAGTCCTGCACCCCTGCCTCTCTTGCTTGGGTAGAGCTGTAAGATGGACAGCCTGGCTCTGGACTATACCTCACCTGAGCAGGGTCTTAAAAATCGCCATGCTTTACAGAGGCCTTAATCTTCTTCCCTGGAGCCCCAGCCCATCGGTGCCACACTACAGCCCCAAGTGAGCACTGCAAGCATCGCTGGCCTAAGGGATGGGTTGGGGAAGGGGAGGGGACAGGGGCTGGAGGAGGGGTTCTGGGGCCCATCACGGCACAGGCACTACACGCATGGTGTTGGTGAAGCCAGAGCCAGGACGCCACCCGGTCAGCACGATGACCACATCTCCCTTCTTGAAGAAGCCTCGGGCCTTGCCTGAAGGAAGAGAAGGCATGTGGGTGAGTAAATGCCAAGTCAGGCAGGTATGAACTTGGGACACTGCCCCAGAGCCAGATAGCAAGCAGGGCTGGCTGGCTATTACTTCTTTACACCACAAGGTGGCCCCAGATTCAAAGCCAGGTAAAGGGGATGAGGGCAGTCCTGAGATTTCCCTATCACTCAGATGGCAGACTTGGCAGGGGCCTTTGGACATCACTCATTTTATACACTGGAGGATGGAGACCCTTGCTCAAGGTTAGAGCTAGCTGCTTCCTCTCATTCAGTGGCACCCTACATTTACACTGGGACAAAGGCCACATCAGTATATAATCTGTGTGTGTGCCACCCCACAGTGCAGGAGCTCTGGCCAATTTTATTAAACACACACACAAAACCCAGTAATGAGCAGATGCCAAAGAATGGACAATCCTGCTTACCTAGGTCCTTTGGCTTTGGGCCCTAGATTAGAAGAGTGAGGAGACAAACTGGACTGTTTAGCCCCACGACTCAAAGGCCTTCTTCCTTCCTGGGCTCAGCCCAAGACTTCAAAGATGGGGATGGAGGAATCAGAGAGAACATTCCCACTGACAGTGGCCAGCCAGGGCTCTTGCACCCTAAGGTCTGCATGTTCCCTTTCCTTAGCATCCCAGAGAGCTCAGTGAGCAAGCACCTCCACCCCAGGCTCCAGCCCTTGCTCCCAGTCACGCACCAACATTCATGGCCAAGTTCACCCGGAGGTCCACATCCTCAGCCCAGGCGTCCTGCACTGGGTCCTTACACACCACAGGGAAGATGCCTCGGTATAGGTGGGCCTGGCGAGCTGTCTGGTGATTACGGGTCACAGCAATGATGGGAGCACGGGGGCGGTACCTGGCCACCTGGTGAGCAGACCTGAGAGGGGATGAAGGACAGGCAGAAGAGACCGTTACATAATGTTCCAGAAGCCTCCCAGGAAGCCCCTCAGGGGCTTCAACAGTTCATCTTCTAATCCAACTCACTATGCCAGCCTGAGGCTTTGGCCACTTAAACATCTATCCCCTGGGCCCCTGTGGGAATTCCCATGGCTGGGGAAGCCCCTCTTCCTGTATCCTCCACAGCATGTAGCTCCTCTTCATAGTTGTGAGACCCATTTGCTCTCCACCCCTCCTCACAGGCCCAGAAATCCTCCTGACCCAGAATGATCAGTTTCACCCACTTTCCTCACATGGCCCATAGTTGGCAGAATGCTCCCTCCGAACTTTTCCATTCTGGCACAGGGAGGCAGCCCTCACCCAAGCTCACCAGTACCCATTTCTCTAGATGCCAGTAACTCCTACAAGCCAAGCAGCATGTGAACAGCACCTGACTCTTGACATCTGCAAAGAACAGGAACAGAGCCTACCAACCCCCTGGGAATCTACAACACAAGCTGCCTTCCATACTGTTAGACCCTCCCAACCCCATGTGGCCCCCAGGTCTCCAGGTCCTGAAATAGTTCCAGTAACTGAGCTCTAAAGATTGAGTCAAACCTGAGTATCTAAGTGAGGGCAAGACCAGGAACTGGAAGTGTGGTGTGGGAGGCTCTGGCAGGTTCCTCGGGAAGGTAGGGGACCCTCTGGAGCCCCAGTGTTGGGTACTTCCTGTATACTTGCAGTTGCAGATGTGTCTCAGGAGTTGGAGAATAGTGTGCAGGAGTGACTGGGCCCCAGAAAGCAAGCTATGAGGACACTCAACAGGTGTCAAGGAAACTTACACCATATTACAGCAGAGAATGCCCAGCTTAAGGCCTGGCCTCTATAAGACTTTCAAAGGGAAGCAGTTGCTGAAATCAGGACAGGCTGAGAATGAAATCCAAGAAGACAGGAGCTAAAAATAGCCAGATAGCAAAGGTTGGACCTTTTCATAAATGTCAACCCCAATGGTTGGGCTGTTTACCCTGAGCTCTGCTGAGGGAATCTGCATAGATCTAGTGTCTGGGTAGCCCCTCCTGCTGCTTCTCAGTGCACGGGGGCTGCCTGTCTGCTCCTCTTCCAGGAAACCCTAGCTGTCCTGTGGGCAGGGACGAGGAGCATACCCCAAGACTGTCCAGGGGATCCTAAGTCCATGGCCAAACAGGCCCCAGCTTGGCTGCATGACAACATGGTGACCTTTCCCGAGCCAGAAATCACTTGTCTTTGGAGTTCAAAGACAGAGAGGGGCTCATGCACCAACCAAAGGGCATGTCAGTGAACAGCACTAATTTTCCAAACCGAACTTTTAAAGAGCATACAATAACTGAAAGAAGCAAAGCTGGAGGCCTACCACCATTTTAGAAGACCAGCCTTTAAATACCAAGTAATTAATTGTAGTCAGTCTATCTGTAGTTAAGCAGCGAAGTCTTGATGGTATAAACTTGCTTTGGAGTCAAATGGTCCCATGCCTTTTGAGTGCTGCCTGGAGTCCTTTGAGCCCAGGGAATGGGCTCTGCTCATTCCTGGATCCTGGCCTGGGGGCTGAGGGAGCTCCTTCCCTGCAGGGTCCAGGTGGCAGGCAGCAGGGTCTTACC